GGGTCTAGGCCCGAAACGTCAGCCTTCCTGCTCCTATGATGCTGCTTGGCCTGCTGTGTTCATCCAGCTCTACACCTTGTTATCTCAGATTTTCCAGCATCTGCAGTTCCTACTATCTCTGATACTACCAGAAATCCAAGCTCGTTAAGAAAATTATTGTAAATGTACAGACTGTTAAAGGAGATTTTGACCTGCTTTCTGTCTGTCAGTGTCAATACAGAGGTTAAACTAGCATTTTGAATTGACCCATTCTTCAGAGTGGGGATTACCTTCTCGTTCAGGTGTTTGCTGTTACTGGGGTTTGATTCTGAGGGTGACACTGCACTGCATGTATCTCACTCCAAGGCCATTCAGTAAAGTACGTCACTCTTCATTCTGTTTGCTTGTTACAGTCTTGCAATGTAATCTTTCAATAAAGCCTTGTGCTCTAGAACTTGATGCTCCCCTAACCAAGCTCTCTCAGCACAGTTACAACACTTGTATCTACCCGACAATGTGGAAAATTGCCCATGTATGTACATAAAATGCAGGATAAATCCAACCCGGCCAATTACCGCCCCATCAGTCTACTCTCAATCATTGGTAAAGTGATGGAAAGTGTCATCAACAGCGCTTTCAAGCAGCACCTGCTCAGCAATAACCTGCTCAGTCACACCCAGTTTGGGTTCCGCCAGGGCCACTCAGCTCCTGACCTCATTACAGCCTTGGTCCAAACATGGACAAAAGAGCTGAATTCTGGAGATGAGGTGAGAATGACAGCCCTTGACATCAAGGCTGCATTTTACTGAATGTGGCATCAAGGAGCCCTAGTAAAACTGGAATCAGTAGGTATCGGGGGTAAGCTCTCTAGTGGTTGGAGTCATACCTGACACATAGGAAGATGGTTGTGGTTGTTGGAGGTCAGTCATCTCAGCTCCAGGACATCTCTGCAGGAATTCCTCAGGGTAGTGTCCTAGGCTCAACCATCTTCGGCTGCTTCATCAATGACCTTCCCTCTATAATCAATTCAGAAGGGGGAATGTTCGCCAATGATTGCATAATGTTCAGCACCATTGTAACTTCTCAGCTACTGAAGCAGTCCATGTTTACCTGCAACAAGATCTGGACAATATCCAGGTTTGCGCTGACAAGTGGCAAGTAACATTAACGTTACACAAATGCCAGGCTATGACCATCACAAATAAGAGACAATCTATCCACCGCCCCTTGACATTAAATGGTGTTACCATCACTGAATCCCCCACTATCAACATCCTGGGGGTTACCATTGACCAGAAACTCAACTGGACTCACCACATTAACAGAGTGGCTGCGAGAGCAGGCCAGAAGCTGGGAATACTGCAGCGAGTAACTCAGCTCCTGACTCCTCCAAGCCTGTCCACCATCTACAAGGCACGAGTCAGGAGTGTAATGGAATATTCCCGACTTTCCTGGATAAGTGCAGCTCCAACAACACTCAAGAAGCAACCCACTAATTGGCAGTACATCCACAAGCATCCACTCCCTCCACCACTAACACTCAGAAGCAGCAGTGTGTACTATCTACAAGATGCACTGCAGAAATTCACCATAGATCCTCACAGACAGCACGTTCCAAACCCACGACCACTTCCATCTAGATGGACAAAAGCAGCATATATATGGGAACACCATCCCCTTCAGGTTCCCCTACAAGCCACTCATCATCCTGACTTGGAAATACATCACTGTTCCTTCACTGTCGCTGAATCAAAATCCTGGAATTCCCTTCCTGATAGCATTGTGGGGCAGCCCACAGCAGGTGGCCTGCAGCAGTTCAAGAAGGCAGCTCACCACCACCTTCTCAAGGGCAACTGGGATGGGCAAGAAATGCTGGCCCAGGCAGCGATGCCCACATCTCACAAATGAATAAAAAAATTCAAAACCCCATCAGTCTCCAAGAACTAGCTCTCTCACACTGTGTTTTAAAAGAAGTCAGCATGGTAACATAAATACTTACAGGTTAATTATTTAACCTCCTCTCACACGCAGGAAACCCACATGTCTCTAGTTTAGAATCCAAGATAAGTTATTTTAAAATCATTTGTGTGTGAGGGTTTCAGCAGTGGAGAAGCAGATGTGGGTGAAGCTAGATGATGTTATAGAGGTGGAAACAGGCCATTTTTGGTGATCACATGAATAAAGGTCAGAAGCACACGGCAGGTTTGTCGATGCAGGGATTCAGCAGCATTTCTCTCAATGGAATGTCCACAACCTCAGGTGCTGCTCAGTCTGGCTCAATGAGCTCCTGTGCCTAGATCCTTGGATGACTCCTCCTATACCTGGATTCTGGAATTTCTCTCTCTCTTTTTGACTTGTCTGTTTTTGACCACAGATTAATAACCTGGAGAAATCCATTGCTGCTGCTTACACATTCCTCCAAAAGAATCCCAAAGATGCTGCAATGCAGAAGAAAATGGCTTTTTATAAAACCATCCCAGACATTGAGACTTACCTTATTGATGTGGAAGCACGGGAACATGAGGTAAATTCTGGCGAAGTTCAAAGTAGCAGCTTAAGTACTACCGTGGTTGAATGGTTGTAAATGGAATACCCCGTCAGAGAAACACTTACAGCACAGTAAATGTTGATTTGGCCTGTCATGTCTGACAGAATTATCCAGCCTTGACCCACCTCCCAGCTCTTGATCCAAAGCCCTGAGCTAATGGCACTTTAGGTACATATCTAAATGATTTTAATTGTGATGAGGATTTCTGCCACTTTAGGATTTGAAGAAGCAGCACTTTCTGTTAAGGTTAATCCACCTGCTGAAGTGTTGCATCTTGACTTAATCCTGGCCACCCTTCTGGGCTGTGATAGCTCAGGATTCAATTCCCAGAACACTGCATTCCAGTATTACCCCTGGAATATTGCGAACCAAAGCTCCCACGATTCCTGATCCTATCCTGGGGCTGCCATGTGCCAGTTTAGCTGTTGGTTACATTCTCACTGTCACAGGGAGAGGATGGGGAGAAGAGCAGGAGGCCAGGGTAACAGGAATGTGAGTTCTGACATATATGTTATTCTATAACTCTGGACAGACATTGTTTCTGAAGGCTGTGAAGGCTTATAACATTGGGAATTTCCGCAGCAGTATAACCGACATGGAGCATGCACTCCCTGAGTATTACAAAGCGTATCAGGAATGCGTCAGTGGCTGTGAAGAATCATGTGATGTTACCGCTTTCAAGGACTTTTACCCAGCAGTGGCAGGTGAGTGGCACCTGGAGGTAGGGTCAGTACCTGTGATCCAGCCTTGCCTATTGCTGTCTAATGTGGCTCTGTACAGGAAGGATAGGACTAACTGATCTTGAGCTAAAGTACTTGCTTCCTATTAGACACTTTTGATAATTCAGATCAAAGGCTGATGGTGAAGTAGAACTGAAGTTACCTTTTTGTTACAGACAGTTTATTGATTACTTGGTCATACAGTCCCTCCAGTGTTATAGGTGCTCAGACAATTAATAGCCACTACCTGTTTCTTCAAAAACAAAAATATAAATGACTAGAATAACTCAAGTCTGACGGCATTTGCAAAGTGAAAACCAAGTTAACATTTCAGGTCCAGTGAACCTTCTTCACAACCTGTTAACACTGCTTTTGAGTTAATGAGAAGTTAACTCTGCTTTCTCTACACAGATGCTGCCAGAACTGCAGAGTTCTTCCAATAACATCTGTTTTTGTTTTGCATTTTCAGCATCCACAGTTCTTTGTTTTTTTCAAACCCATATCTTCATCTCGTATAAAGACGTTAACAAACGTATTGTGATTAACCAGATATTACTAACTTTGAGTGCAAGCATTTCATTCATTGTGCTGGGTTCTGAGTGTCAAGATTTGTCCTATTTATATTTTGGGCTATCTTTGGCAAAAATGTGGGGACACTGCATTTTCCACTTGGTATCTCCTTTCTTATTCTAGTGAGTTAAGGAGGGTACAGATTCTCACCACATCCATGATGTTTTCAACATATGGCCTCTCATTTCCAGCTGTCTACCCAGTCAAACTCTTCGCTATCTCCAATATTTTTATAGCTAAACCTTCTCAAAGAAAATCAACTTTCTTTTTCAAACCCTATGATTTTCCTCCTGGTTTTGCTCCAGCAGTGTCCTAGAGATTAATGAGAGCGATCCCGCAGAGTTAGCAGCTTCTGCTGTTGGAGGGAAATTTCCATTAAACTTGTTTCACATTTTCTATCTACTCTGTCTATGCCTCTTATTTTATCCATCCCAATCATGTCCCCTCTTAATCTCCTCTGCTCTCAGGAAAACAACCCCAGTCTGTCCAATCTCTCTTCATAACTGAAATTCTCCAGCCCTGGCAACATCCTGGTAAATCTCCTCTGCACCCTCTCCAGTGCAATCACATCCCTATATAATGTGGATTTCAGAACTAGACACAATACACTAATTGTGGTCTAACCAACATTTTATACAGTTCCAGCATCATCTCCCTGCTCTTAAACTCAGCTTATAAAGACCAGTATCCCATATACCTTCATAACCATTTCATCCATCTGTCCTGATACCCTAAGGGACCGATGTACATGCACACCAAGGCCCCTCTGACTGTTGGTGCTTCCCAGGGTCCTACCACTCATCATGTATTCCTTTGCCTTTTTTGTCCCGCCCAAGTGCATCACCCACATTAATCTGAATTGAATTCCATTTGCAACTTATCAGTCTGATCTGTCTGTATCCTCCTGTAATCTAATGCTATCCTCCTCACTATTTACCACCTCACTAATTTTCATATCATCTGTGAACTTGCTGATCAACCCTACATATAAAACTATATCATTTATATAAAGCACCTACAACAATGGCCCCAACACTGATGCCTGCAGAATTCCACTGGACCCAGGTTTCCAGTCACAAAAGCAGCCCTCCAACCGTCACACTCTGCTTCCTGCCACTCAATCAGTTCTAGATCCAATTTGACAAATTTCCTTGGATCCCATGGGCTCTTACCTTTGCTATCAGTCTTCCATGTGGAACCTTATTGAAAGCCTTGCTGAATTCCATGTAGATGAAGGCAAATGCATTGCTGTCATCCACACCCCAGGTCACCGCATTTAAATTTCAATCAAGTTGGTCAGACGTAACCTCTCCATAAAAAGAATCAATGCTGACTGTTCTTGATTAATCCCTGCCTCTCCAAATGCAGATTAAGTCTGTCTCTCAGAATTGCTCCCCATAGTTTCCCCACCACTGAGTTTAGAGTGACTGGCCTGTAGTTTCCTGGTTTATCCCTTGCTACTTTCTTGAATAACAGTACCACACTGACTGTTGTCCAGTCCTCTGACACCTCTCTCATGGCCAGAGAGGAATTGAAAATTACTGCCAGCATCCCTACTGTTTCCTCCCTTGCCTCACTCAATAGGCTGGGACACATTTCATCCGGATCTAGAGATTTATTTATTTTTAAGATTGCCAGACCACTCAGAATCTCCTCTCCATAGAAGGTAGTTTCTTTAATTATCTCACAGTCCGTCTCTCCACATCATCCCTCTCACTAATGAACACCATCACAAAGTATTAATTTAGAACACTACCTACATCCTTTGAATCTATGCATAAATTACTGCTGTGGTCTTAATGGGTCCTACTCTTCCCCTCATTATCCTTTTACCCTTAATGTACTTGTAAAAGAGCTTTGGATTTTTCTTTACCCACCATTATTCTTTCATGTTTTTCTTTGTGCTCTCCTAATTTCCGTTTTAAGTTTTCCCTTGCAGATTTTATACACCTCTAGAGTTTCTGCTGTTTTTCTCTTTAGCCAGTCCTGCCTAACCCTCAATATCCAGTGTTTGTCAGATCTGTTGCTCCTATCCATTATCGTAATTGGAACATATTGATCCTGTACTCTCCCCATTTCCTTCTTGAATTCAACTGTCCTAATACAGTTTTACCTAAAAATGTCTGTTCACAGTCCAGTCTATGCAAGTCATACCTGATCTTATTGAAATTGACCCTTCCTCCAGTTTAAAATGTTGATTTTAGGTCTCCCTTGTCCTTTTTCATAACAATTTTGAATCTAACAGAGTTATGATCAATGGCTGCAAAATGCTCCTCCTCTGAAAATTCAACTAGACTTCATGGATTAAAGTAAATACCAATCAACCTTGCCAAACTCTCTATTGCCTTATCTGGCCTGTAATGTCACCTGCTGTGACTTCTAATTTTGCCCTTGCAACTCCCCTTACTGAGCCTTCTCTCTGAATACCCGCTCCAACCACCCACCCCCAGCCAAATTAGTTTAATGATGTGTAGGTGCCGGGGTTGGACTGGGGTGGACAAGGTCAGAAATCACACAACACCAGTTAGAGGCCAACAGGTTTATTTGAAAACACAAGCTTTGGGAGCGCAGCTCCTTCGTCAGGTGAAGAAGCATTTGACAAAGGAGCAGCTCTATGAAAGCTTGTAATTTCAAATAAACCTATTGGACTGTAACCTGGTGTCATGTGACTTCTGAAATTGGTTTAAATGCTCCCCAACTGCACTAGCAAACCTCCCCACAAGGATGCTACTCCCATCTAAAAACTCATCTATAAATAACGCGGATTCTTCCCAGCGCCAAAACTCTCCAAATGAAACTGGAACAATGTCTCCCATCTCCTTAGCATGCAAAATACACACAAAAAATCAGACTTCAAACAGTCCTCCACTTGAAAACCCAAACTGTCCAATAAACAATAGATCACAAATCACCTTCACTGTTTTCTTCTCTTTGGGGATTTATTTTTTCAAATGAAGTTCTGTACTGGGACCATAACAAGACGAAGGAGCAGTGCTTCGAAAGTCTGTGATTTCAAATAAACCTGGGAGCTGGAAGGTTTCAGAAGGGGAGGGTGGGGCAAAGGCTAATGAGGGAGCGCAAGGCCATGGAAGGTGGCAGGGCTGGGAATTATGAAGATCAAGTTGGGAAATGTGGAAATCCAGAATGGGAAGTACTGCTCAGGGTGAGCTTGGACTGAAATGTGATTAGTTTTGCTTACTAACAGATTCCACTAATGTCCTTGATATTGATTACATTAGAATATAGCAACATTAATATACATAGGGGTGTGTAATAGCAGATTAACCTGCAAAATAAAGCTATCATGCAGAGTAACAAAGTAACATTTGTTATGGATACAATCACTTAATCTCATTGCTCACCCAGTTATTCCCTTTTGCTTTAAAACATCTTAAACAAACGTCAGAGATAGCAGGAACTGCAGATGCTGGAGAATCTGAGATAA